AAAAAAAAAAAAGAAGAAGAAGCTCTGTAACTTGTCAAAATTCAAAATTCATTTACATAGGTAACTAGGTAAGTTTTGAGACAGACTATATTATAGTCCATCATTTCACTTCCAAGAAACACCATCAACAGTGTCCTTTCTGATTCACCTTCATTTGTTTCCATCTGCATGGATTTTATGTTTCTTGATTTTTATCTCAGAACTTTCATAATGACCCGCATGTAAGACAGCCTTGGTCTTGATAATTTGTGCATGAGAATAATAAATAAAATATCAAGGAATGAATATAAGAATCAAATATGTTTGCTTATATCAGACAAAGTAATAAGAAGTAGCAAGAAAGAGGCCCCTACCTTCAGGGAGCTCACAGTCTAGTTGGAGAAAAATAGAATAAAGAAAAGTTTGGCTCTTTCTAAGTCCTACGATGGTAAGAGTACAGATAGAAATGAAAGTGGTCCAGTTGTTACTTCTGGCAAGTTTACAATTTAGCTTGAAACTTATCTTCCAGACACTCTAAGAAAAGAGCCCTTTCTCCTTGAGAGGGGCATAAGTCAGGGAGGGCTCCCTAGAGGAAGTGTCATTTGAGAGAGGCCTTGAATGAAAATTGTGATAATGAAGAGCATGAGCATTGGAGTCAAGTAAAATTGGGATCAAATTCTAGCTCTCAAATCTCAAACTGAGCATGGTGGCTCATGCCTATAACCTAGCATTCTAAGAGGCTGAGGCAGGAGGATTGCCTGAAGTCAGGAATTGAAGACTAACCTGAGCAATCGTGACACCCAGTCTTTACTAAAATAATAGAAAAAATTAGCAGTGTTGTGGTGCATGCCTGTAGTCCCAGACAATTGGGAAGCTGAGGCAGGAGGATCACTTGAGCCCAGAATTTGAGGTTGGAGTGAGCTACAGTGGTAACACTGCACTCAAGCCCTTCTGGCTCTCCAATCTCCTTGCTGTGTGATCTCAAGTAAATGACTTCCCTTTCTTGGGCCACAGCTTATATAATAAAATGAAGTATTCTCACTATATCTCCCCAGGCTAATTGTGAAGATAACCTTAAAGGACAAACTATGCCCCAGACACTGGTACGACCACTATGTAATTCAAAAGACCTGAGCAGGTAAAATTACAGACTAAGGATGGCGTAAAATTCAGTAATGATGGAAATTTTCTATATCTGTGCCTTCCCATGCAGCAGCCACCAGCCACATGTGGCTATTGAGTGCTTGAATGAACTATGGCCTCTGTGCCCTAGAAACTAAATTTTAAGTATTAATTAATCTTAATTTGAACAGCCACAGATAGTAGTGATTACTGACTGGGCAATGTAGATGGAAGGGTATTCCAGAGAGCGGCATCCGCTTGATAAAAGGCCCAGAGGCATGAAAATAAAACAGCTTGAAATGTTTGTATTTGCTTCCAGTGGCTGCTTTAATGAATTACCACAAACGTAACAATATAACGTTTTGGAGATCTGAAGTCTAAAATCAAAGCATCTACAGGTCTGGGCTCCTTCTGGGAGCTTCAGAGAGAAAAGGCTTTCCTTGCCTTTTCTCAGCTTCTAGAGGCTTCTACGTTCCTCATTCCTCATGCTACTATCAGCTCTGCTTCTGTATTTACGTGTCCTGCTTCTGACTCTGACATTCATCCCTTCCTTTTTAGAGGATGCTCCTAAAATTGCCACTGGGCCCCCCGCCCCAGACAATTCAAGATCATCTCCTCATCTCAAGCTCCTACATGTAATCACACCTGCAAAGGGATCTTTTATCATGTGCGGTCACATATTCACAGGATCAGGGGATTAGGATGTGGACTTTGTTGGGGGTCATTATTCTGTCTGCTACAGGGAGTGAGAAACTAGAAAACAATTTTGTCCAGAGAGTGGAGAGAAACCCAGGTTGGAAAGCTAAGGAGCCCAGACATGGCCTTCCCCTCAGAATAGATCCACAATCTGTCAGCTTCTCACCACCTTGGCTCTCTTAACCTTGATCCAAGTCACTCACCTCTTGCTTAGGCTATTGCAGTAGCCTCCTCCCTGGGCTCTTCACTTACCACCCTCCATTGTCTAATCTCCATCAGCAACAGGAGGAATCCTATTAAAATCTAAGTCAGATCATGACGTTTCCTCTGCTCAGACTGGGGCTCCCTGATTTAGCCCACACACAAATTACAGAAGGCCCAGTTAACTTTGAATTTCAGGTAAACAACAATTTCTTTTTAGTATAAGTATATCCCATGAAATATTTGGGACATTCTAACCCTAAAAATTATTTATTGTGGTGGTTTACCTGAAGCTTAAATTTTAACTGAGAATCCTGCATTTTATCTGGTAACCATAGTGCAGAACTCTTGCATGGGTACCCAAGCAGGTGTTATGACCTAGAAGTGTTTCCAGATCTTCCCCCACTTCATCTCATACCACTCTTCCCCTTGATCGCTTTGCTTCACCCATACCCGCCTCTTCACTGTTTCTAGAAAACAACAAATAGGAGCTCACTCAGAGCCCTTACTGTCTCCTCTGCCTGGAATGCCCTTCCCCAGGTTTAAGCAGAATTCTCCTCCCTTCTTCAGATTTTCTTAGCACTTATCACCACTTGACACATTCCGTCTTTTTTTCTTTGTTTATTGTCTGTTTTTCTCCATTAGAATGTCAACCCCTGAGGGCAGGATTTCTGTCTGTTTTGGTCACTGCTTTATGGCCAGTGCCTATAACAGGGCCTTGCAAGAAGCAGGTGCATAATGGGTATTTGCTGAATGAATGAAGGAGTAAAATGAAGATATCAGTGAGCCCCTGGATCCACCTTTGCCCAAAGTCAGTGTTGTGGAATGCAGTGGATACATACATGCAAGCCAGTGTCCCTCTAGCCTACACTTCCATCTCTGAGACCAGGTCATGGCTCGTGGATTTCTTGCTGACTACACTTTCATCCTGGTCCTGGGACTCCCTCAGGGCCCAATGACATGCAGCTGGCAGTGACCGGCAGAGTTGAACCCGTCCAAAATATAGGAAGAGCACAGGATTGAGGCAGCTGTGAGCCAAGGCAAGGCCCACAACCAGGGGTTCGGCCCTCAGGGCTCGGGCCAGGAGCACAGAGTTTGGGGCAGCCACAGTGAGTACCAGTCCCAACAAGTGGTAAGGAGCCCAACAGACAAAGAACCCCACCACAATAGCCATGCCCAAAGGCCAATGGCGTTGGGCTGCCCGGCACAAGAGGACACTGTGACAGCTGATCACCACCACCAGTGGCCCCAGGAAGCCAAACATAACCCGGGTAGCAGTCACCGCAGCCTCGGTCCTGGCTGAGCCACCGTAGTCCACCACACACTCCAGCCGGGCGGGAAAGTGCTCCTGGTGCAGCCGGCGGTAGATGGCAGAGGGCACAGTGAGCAGCAAGGCCAGTGTCCAGACTGCCCCACAGGCCACCTGTACCCCACGTGTCCGCCGAGCTGCTGCCCACCAGGTGGGCCTGAGGGCCAGTAGGTAGAGGTCAGCACTGAGAGCAGCCAGCAGCAGGACACTGGCATACATGGACAGCAGGATGACCGAGGGCAGGGCCCGACAACCCATGGCTCCATATGGCCAGTGACCTCCGGTGGCAATGGGCACCGCCAGGATGGGGAGAGATATACAGCAGAACAAATCTGCTGCAGCCAAGTGGAGAAGCCAGGTGGCGCCCACCCTCTGGCGGGCCTCCTTCCCGGCTACCCAGGCCACCATGGCATTGCCCGGCACTCCCACCAGGAAGATGGCAGCATACAGCAGCAGCGAGGCCACCCAGAACGAGTTGATGGAGCGGCAGGCACCATCCAGGCAGTCCACAGGGAGATACCCAACGTCACCGTAATCCCCGTACTCGTAGCTGTAAGAAGTGTTCTCCATTCAGACCTCAGACGCCTGGACAGGACAGAAACAGGACAAAGACTCAGTGAAGGGAACACATAGGCCCTGGGATCCCCGGGGTGTCAACAGCCCAGCCCATCAGCACTTTGCAGACTCTACGCTAGAACACCAGCATATCAGAATACTAGATTCTGACTCGGCGCCTGTGGCTCAAGCGGCTAAGGCGCCAGCCACATACACCTAAGGTGGCAAGTTTGAATCCCCAGCCCGGGCCTGCCAAACAACAATGATGGCTGCAACCAAAAAATGGCCAGGCGTTGTGGCGGGCGCCTGTAGTCCCAGCTACTTTGGCGGCTGAGGCAGGAGACTCGCTTGAGCCCAGGAGTTGGAGGTTGCTGTGAGCATGATGCCATGGCACTCTACCCAAGGGGATAGCTTGAGGCTCCGTCTCAAAAAAAAAAAAAAAAGAAACAGAACATTTCTAGAATCCTACTGGAGCAATTTTAAAAAGTAGTGATGACCTGGCATGGCGCCTGTAGTCTCAGCTACTCTGGAGGCTGAGGCAGGAGGATTGATTGAGCCCCAGGAGATCAAGGCTGGAGGGAGCTATGATGATTGCACCACTGCAGTCCAGCCTAGGTAACAGAAAGAGACTGTGTCTCTAAATAAAATAAAATAAAATAAACAAAAAAAGCATTAGGTCAGGCGTAATGGCTCACACCTATAATCCTAGCACTGCAGGAGGACGAGGCAGGTGGATCACCAGAGCTCAGGGGTTTGAGACCCGCCTCAGCAAGGGTGATCCCATCTCTAAAAATAATCAGCGGCATGGCAGGTGCCTGCAGTCCCAGACACTTGGGAGGCTGAGACAAGAGGATCACTTGTGCCCAAGAGTTTGAAGTTGCTATGAGCTATGATGCCTCAGCACTCTACTGAGGGTGACAAAGTGAGACTTTGAGGCCAGGCTCGGTAGCTCACACCTGTAATCCTCGCACTCTGGGAAGCCGAGGCAGGTGGATTGCCTGAGCTCAGAGGTTTGAGACCAGCCTGAGCCAAGGGCAAGATCCAGTTTGTAAAAATAGCTGGGCGTTGTGGTAAGCGCCTCTAGTCCCAGTTGAAGAAACTGAGGCACAGAGAAGTTAAGCAACTTACCTGAGATCACTCAGCTAAGTAAGCAATGGGCCTGAATTTCGAACTGTGTTAATCCCACGGCAGAACCTTGTGCCCTAGAATACTGTGATCCCAAAATCTTGGACTCTGGAGTTGGAAGGCAGCAGTAACATAGCCAGTTGGGCTCTGTGACCATAAATGACAGACAATTGCACTTGACTCTTAGTTTCCTCATCAGAGAAATGAGTCAACGAGGTGGACTTACCGGTTTGGGGACACTTGAGGAATGAGTACATGTGAAGCATGTGGCACAGAGCAAGGGACAGGACCCAGGAGTCCCCAGCCCCCACTCAGTGTTAGAGCGACCCTGCCCTCTGGCTCTCTGCCAACTATTCTGTAGTGGTTCCAGTCAGTGTTGATGCCACAGGAAGGACAGAGAGGAAGTTGGGGCACTCCTGGGCACCTCTCTAGGCCCTGCCAGGTAGCATAAGAAGCCAAGCCACTTTCTGTGTGTTGGTTTGGAGTTTGACACTAGAGTAAAATGTGTGCAGGATTTTTTTTGTTTGTTTTTTGAGACAGAGTCTCACTTTGTCACCCCTGGTAGAGTGCTGTGGCATCATAGCTCACAGCAACCTCAGACTCCTGGGCTCAAGCGATTCTCTTGCCTCAGCCTCCCAAGTAGCTGGGATTACAAGTGCCCACCACAATGCCTGGCTCCTGTTGGAGATGGGGTCCTGCTCTAGCTCAGACTGGTCTCGATCTCACGAGCTCAGGTGATACACCCGCTTCAGCCTCTCGGGGGCTGGGATTACAGGCGATAGCCACCTTGCCTGGCTCTTGTGTGAATTTAAAAACTCAATTCCCCACCAGCTGGGTGGGTTTAGGCAGAGGCACATCACCTAACCTCTCTGTGCCTCAGTAAAATTGGAATAACAATATACCTACTTTAGAGGGCGTTCCTTAAAGGATGTTATAAGAATTTAATGAGGCCATGGGCGGTGGCTCATACCTATAATCCTAACACTCTGGGAGACCAAGGCAGGAGGATCGCTTGAGCTCAGGAATTTGAGACCAGCCTGAGCAAGACCAAGACCTCATCTCTACTAATAAAATAAAATAGATAAACTAGCTGGGCATTGTGGCAGGCACCTGTAGTCCCAGCTACTGAAGAAGATGAGGCAAGAAGATCCCTTGAGGCCAAGACTTTGAGGTTGCTGTGAGCTATGACTCCATAGCACTTTATGAGGGTGACAAAGTGAGACTCTGTCACCCCCCCCCGCCAAAAAAAAAGAAGTCTCAGTGCCCATATCTCAGTGGTTAGTGCGCCACCACTTACACCAGGGCTGGTGGGTTCAAACCCAGCCAGGGCCTGCTAAACGACAATGATAACAACAACAACAAAATAACCGGGCATTATGGGTGGCACCTGTAGTCCCAGCTACTTGGGAGGCTGAGGCAAGAGAATCGCTTGAGCCCGGGAGTCTGAGGTTGCTGTGAGCTATGATGCCACAGCATGTCAGGGCCCAGGACTGGCCAGGTCTCGGGCCCAGGTTGGGTAGGTTCTGGACCCGGACCGCTCAGCTACCTTGCTCAGGAACAGTTTCTCTTAGGTGCCTGAGGGCTATCTACCTTAGCCGAAGAGAGAGAGAGTGTCTTAGAGAGAGTAAAGCAGCCTTCTTAGCATAGATAGATCTTGGTCTTTAGCAGAGCTTGGTAATCTTCAGCAGAGAGACGCTGTGCTGGCATTCTGCAGGCAGGAGAGGAGACAAAGTAAGCAAGTCCATGATAGAAAGTGCACGCTCCCGGCTGCCTTCTCCTCCAGCCTAATATAAGGCTGATCTTGTGTTTCTTAACACCACACATGTAGAGACTGCCAATTCACCACTGCTCTCATCTTGCGAGCTCTCATGCTTGTTAGGAGAGCTAAATCTCTCTCCA